CCTGCCTGCCCCCCCCAGGGATGAGCACCCCGGGGCTGGGGGCAGCCCCGTCCATCCCCGCGAGGGCCCCCAGTAAGACAAGTGTGTGTCCCCCACCCTGAGTGGGGCAAGGGGACCCAGTGCTGCAGCAATGCAGGGGGGGCTTTGTGGCCCAAGCCCTGTCCCATGCAGGGACAATGTGACCCCGTTTGGGGGAAGCCCCAAGGCAGGGAGGGCGCTGGCTCCCCCCAATGAGAGTGGGGGGAACACCGTGGGTCCCCCAACTGGGGGGGAGGGCGTCAGGCTCACCCCACTCCAAGGCACAGGCGGTGAGATCAGTGATGGCTTCAGGCCCCAGGGGGGGTTAAAGCTGGTGTCTGTGCCCCAGCCCCCCCTTGTGCTGGGGTGGGGGGGCCAGGACTGCCAGCACGGAGCAGGAGAGGCTCACCCCCCACCCCGGCACAGCCTTCCTGCCATATCCCCGGTGGCTCTCGGGGCAGCGAGCCCCAGCCCCGGCAAGGCACTGGTGGGGCTGGAGGGGCGAGGGGGGGGCCCCTCCGCTGTCCCCGGCTGGTTTGTGGTGGGGGCCGGGGCCGCCTACGCCAGCAGCCCCATGCGGGTGACTTTGGCCGAGAGGAAGGTGTGCAGGATGAAGACGATGGGCTTGGGGCAGGAGTGCAGGTCCAGCGCCTGGCGGGGGGGGAGATGGAGAGCGGTGTCAGCCCCACCACCGGCACACCAAACCCCCGGGGGGGGCACCGGGGGTCTCCCAACCAACGGTACCAGGCAGCCGTGATGCCGCAGGGATGGGGGGGAAGCAGGAGCTACCCCCTGGAGGAAGACCTCCCAAATCGGGGGGTGAACCCGGCTGCCCCCCTCCTCACCAGCTCCCCCTCGGGGCCCCCGAAGTCCAGGTAGAGGGTCCTGATGCCGTCGTCTGCCGACATCTTCAGCCTCTCGTAGGGGTAGCGGAAGAGGACGCTGCCGCCCGGCTCTTCCCGGCATATGGTGAAGCCGCCCTCGTAGTGGATGGAAAGCTGCACCTCCTGCCCACCCAGCGTGCAGCCTGCGGGCACACACAGGGCTTAGCCCCCCCCTGCCTGCGAGACCCTCCCCAGAGCAGAGATCCCCACCGGGCAGCCCAGGTCCCGCTGCGCCCTCGCCCTGCCGGCACCCCAGAGCCCCAGGAGGGAAAAGGAGAGCCCTGGGGGTCCCCCCCACCCCGCAGAACTCACCCACGGTCCCCCCCACCCTGCAGAACTCACCCACGGTCACTTCCTTGACCAGCTCGGCGGCAGCGTGGCAGCCCTGGACGAGGACGCGTGTCCAGGAGGAGAGGTCCCGGTGGGTCTCCACGCGGAAGACGTGCATCTCCACACCCTGGCGAGAGCCCGTCCGGGTGGCGAAGGTGAGCTCCGAGCCCATGGAGGGCGAGCGGCGGCCCGAGCCCGAGTGGACCAGCCTGGGGAGGGGGGCAGGAACGGATGGGGAGGGGGTCAGGGGCACGACGGCAGCGCCAGCACTGTGCCAGCACCGCGCCGCTCGTTGCGCTTCGGGGTCTTTCCCCCTGCTCCGGCGAGAGGCAGAGCCAAGGCGCGAGCGGAGGAGCTGGATGCGGCTGAGGGGAGCTGGTCCCTGGAGAATGCAGGCAGAGGGATCCAGCCCCCCGCCTCCAGCCCACCTGGTAGCCACCAGCGGGTAGCTGTGGCAGGGGGAAGCCCAGGCGTCCCTGGTCCAGGGCATGCCGTCGTACAGCAGCAGGTCTTTCTCCGTCACCGCCATGAGGACCGGCCGCCACTGCTGCCGCCCTCCGTCCAGGCGCGCCTGCAAGAGACACGAGGGCACGGTGAGGGGCACCGGGGGCTGCAGGCACCCGCCGCTGCCTGGGCACCCCGCTCCCTGCGCCCACGGCCGGGCCGACCCCAAGCCAGCGGCTCCGCTTTGCCGGGCTCTCGGCAGCGTCCGTGTAAAGCTGTGCAAGGCGCCGTGGCCGGCGGCCATCCTGAGGGGACCCCGCTGCTGGGGCCGAGCTCACCGCGGTGCCCGTGCAGGCTGCGGCTGTCAGGCAGCGAATTCATGGAAAAGCGAAGGGGTGATGAGTGTCTCCAGCCGGGAAATCCAACAGGAGAGGGGACTGAGGGCACGGAAAGCGCTGCCTTCACTGGGGCACAGCCGGCCGGCCAGATGGGGAAAGGGAGAGTGGCAGAGCCCGGTGCCCAGGCAGGCGGCACAGCTCTCCAGCAGCCATGCAGCTGCAACCACAGCCCTATTGGCGCTGCTGACCGCGGGAACGGCACCAGACGGGCATCTTCGGCACAGCCCCGGCCGTGCGTACCTGCTCAGCCAGCCAGGCGATGTGCTTCACCTCCCTGCCGCCGGCCGCGGCACCGCCGGTGCCCAGCGTGGTGTTGAGCTCGGCCAGGACCTGCGGGAGCAGGGCGGTGATGTTGGCGTGCAGGGCCATGAACCAGGAATGTGCCGTCGCCGTGTCCTTGCAGCGCAGGATCAGGGTGTTCCTGCTGTCCGGCGAGTGCAGCTCGATCAGCCTGCGAGGGGACGCGGCGCTGGGTGAGACGGGAGCAGCGGCACCTGGCTGAGTGTGCCCCTGCCCGTGCCCAGCCCAGCAAACTGGCCGCACTGGTTTGGGGCTCTGGCCGTGCCGGGGAGCCACCAGCGCAGTCTGGTGCCAGCTCTGCTGGCAGGCAGAACTGGGGGGATTTGCAGGGCCCTCCTTTTCATAGGCAGGGGAGGCTGCCAAACACCCTGGGAGGTAGGTGGGGGGGCCAGCACAGCCCTTGCCCCAGCCAAACCCACGGCACTTCCCTTTCACAAATCAGCGGGGAAAGCGGGAGGTCATGGCTGCAGCAAGGGGCAGCCCCCAGCCCTGTCCCGGGGGGTCCATGGGGATCAGGGTCCCCATACTGGCTTGGAGGAGGGGGCATGGGTAGCCCCTGCCCTCACCGGTTCTCCAGGTCGGGCATGCTGAGGTTCCTGGCGGCGAAGCACATCTTCAGGGGGATCACCTTGCGGTCGCGGGGGCCCTGGTGCTGGGGGGAGCCTGAGTCCTCGCTGCTGCTCAGGCTGGGCGACTGCGGGGCGGCCCCCTCCCACGGCAGGTCCGACACCAGCGAGGGCTTCTTGATGTAGGGGGTCACCTCCCGCATGAACTTCACTGGGGGGGGAAGCGGGGGGGACAGGTTACAGCTGGGCAGGGGTCCTGCACCCCAGGGATGCTCTGATCAAGGGGGTGTCTTGTCATCCCCCCTGGCACGCATGGGGTCTCGGCCAAGCCTGGGGGGCTGCGGGACCTCTCCCAGCAGCACCAGCATAGCCCACATCCCAGGCAGCTGAACTCACCCCCCCGGCCTCGTGCCGCAGGCAGAGGACAGGCAGTGGGAAAGGGGGTACCCTGCCTTCCCACCCCGGGGAGGGGGCAGCAGCCCTGGAGAGACCTGGGGATGGGGCCACGGCCCAGAGCGTCCCACCCTGCCCCGAGACGGAGGTGTCCCAAGCAGGGGACGGGCGCTGGCGGCTCATCCCCGTTACCGGCAGCAGGCGCGGGCGTAAGGAAAGGGAAGGCGGCGCAGCACAATGGGGCCGGGCAGGAGGTCAGGCTGCAGCCCATCCTGAGCCGCCCCGGCCGCCTCGCTGCGAGGACAACACCGGCCAAGTTTCCAGCGCCGCAGGCGCTGATGGCAGGCTGACCCTGCGCTGCCGCCGGCGCCTGCCAGCAGCCTGCCTCCGCTCCCGGCAGGACGAGGAGGAGGAGGATTTGAAGCCGGGACATCCCGGCTCCACACTCCTCTCCAGGCTGGTCAGGAAGGAAGGAGGCACCGGCTCCAATTCCCCCTGGACTGTCTCTCCCTGAGCACCACCCAGCCCAGCCAAAGCAGAGCCCCGGCAAGGCGCCAGCACCCCGGAGCCCATCCCAGCTCCGGATCAGAAGCCGCGGAGGCCGGTTCATCCAGCCCGCGGTGCTGCCATGGGTTGACCGGCGCCAACGGCTGCGCCAGCTGCCAGGCTCGGGGAAAGCCAACGCCTTCAAGATGTCAGGGAGCGTCAGCCGAGCCGCCTGCCAGAGCGGGGATGAGGCCGTGCGGGACGGCACGCTCGGCCAGGCAGGAAAGCTGCAGCCGGCGCTGGACCCCTGCCTGCCGCGGCCCCCCCTGGACACAGCTCCCCAGCCGGCACGCATGCCGTGAGAGAGCAGCCTGCCTGCGCCGAGCCTCGGCATCCCATCCCCAAAGGAGGAACACGCTGGGAACAGTGACGTCCACGCAGCCTGGGGCAGCGGGGAATTAAAACCAAACAAAAAAAAAAAAAGCAAGTAAACTGTAATCCACTGTGAAAACGAAGCTCCCCGCCGCTCGGTGAAAGTGTCTGCGGAGCTGGCACAATGCCGCAACGCAGCCAGGCCAGCCGGCCCACCGGCACTTTGCTGGAGCGGGAACGATGGCGGTGGCGGGCCCCGGGCCCCGCTCTCAGCCGGTCCTGCCGCTGCCGGACCCCGCGGTCCCGTGGTCAGACGCCTGCCGCGGCCCAGGGCTCGCCCGCCGCAAATCCCCCCGCGGCGGGGGCTGCAGCCTGCCCACGGCGTGGGCAGGGAGATGCCGGCAGGGATGGGGAGCGGGCAGGCTGGCCCCCCGCCCTCCCGCCGGATTTGCTGAGCCGAGCAGCGTGGCGGGGTGGGGACGTGCTGCCACGAGGCGCTTGTCCTTGCTGCGGGCAGCAAACGAGTTAATATTAGCCTCCCGCCGTGCTGATCCCGGGATTACCGCCGTCCCCGTGCACCCCTAATCCTGCTGCCTGGCCGGGCAGGGCAGGGCAGCGCTGGCGGGGTAGCGGCAGCGGCGGCAGCTCCCGCTGCGGGGCCGCTCGGCAGCTGTTTGCCAGATGTGAGCAGCTGCCTCCAGCGCCGGCCAGGAGCCCAGCACCTTCCAGCCAGCCCCCAGCAGGGCTCCAGCCCACGGTGCCGTGACCCTGTGGTGCCAGTGCCAACCTCCGCCAGGGCACGACCACCACCTCCCCGAAGGCCAGGCTCCCGAGAGCCCCCGAAACTGGGAGGGCAAGAGGCCGAGCCGGGCAGCCGGCAGTGCGGGAGCCCAAGCGTTGTGCTGGGGCGCTGCCAGAGGAGCGTGGGCTTGGCGGGGGTACAGCCACACTGGTGGCTCTCGGCGGCGGCTGGGACCAGCAGGCAGTTGCTGCCAGGCTGCGCCAGCTCGGCCACCACGGGAAGCATGCCCCGGCACCGAGCAGATCCACGGGACCATGTCTGCCAGCGGGGACGGCAGCAGAGATGGCTCCCTGCTTTCGGGGACATGAAGCTGGCACCCAGGCAGCGGCACCTGCCACTACCTTTTCTGCTTCTGGCGAGCCGGCGGCCAGCACACAGCCGCCCCGGCGCAGCCGCTGCCGCCCTGCCTACACGCTCACCGCAAAGGAAACCCAGCCGCCGCCTGCACCCCTCGCCCGACCTGCCGCAGGAAGGCAGCTGCTCCGGCTGCACAGCAATGTCGGGTTAGCGCTGGCTTTACCGGGACTGAGTCCCCATGCACTTCCCCGACAGCATCGGTCCGTCCTCGAGGCCAGAGCCCCCCTCCTACCACCGGCACCCGCACCCGGAGGGAAGACACCAAAGAGGTTTCCCCACGTTTGCACAGGGGTCAGCTCTTGCAACCGGCCTTCCCCTTCACCAGCGCCCGGCCAGCCCATGTGCCCGCCGGCCGGCAGTTCTGCCCGCAGCTCCCCTGCAGAAGCGGAAGGGCTCCCTTCCCCCAGCGCGCCGGAGCATGCCAGAACGTGCCGTGTGCCTGCAGGCACCCCGGGAGGAAGGTGCCTGGCGTGGGTCCCTGAGGCCAAACCCAGCACCCAGGGTGGGGGCTGCCAGCCCCACTGGGGTGCCGGCGCAGGGCTGGTGCTCCCATACTCTGCCACCGGCTCAGGGCCCGGGCGAAGCCCCGGCACGTGCCCGGCAACCCTGCCTGCCAGGGCGGTCGCACCTCCAGGGACTGGCGAGGAGGGACAGGGTGGGACGACGCAGCCAAGGTCTTCCTCAGCTCCTCTCCAGGGCCCGCAGATGCCAGCCAGGAGCCAGATGATTCTGCCGGGCTGTGGGGAAGCCGCAGCCGTTGGATGAGCAGCCCCACGGCACCAACGGGAAGGGAAGGGGCGGCTGCCGCGGCGCCCGTGCCCTTGGCGGAAGCAAGGGACAAACATGCCGCGGGGCCGGAGCTCCGGCAGGACAGGATCAAACGGCAGGGTGGCGCGAGACGGGAGCAAGGGGAAGGACGCGGTGGGGAGACGGTGAATCTGGCGCAGACCCCTGTGGGGACTCTCGCTGCCTCCAACGGTGGCCCTGACCCGTCCGGTGTTTAAACACCGAGCCCAACACCGCAGCTCCGCCTCGGCCCCCACAGCACCCCAGCCGTGGCCGAGCCACACAGAGCCACCCCGTGCCAGGTGCGGCTGCGCCAAGGAGCCCATCTGCCTGCCCTCACACCGGCGCAGTGTGCCGGGAGCAGGCGGGCGAGCAGGAGCACCTGTCACCAGCGTCAGCCCAGCCCAACCAGGCACAGGTGACCAAGCCCCGGCACCTACCGGGCACTGCACCCATGGAGCAGCCCCACGCAACCAGAGAACAGACGGCCTTGCCAGGACACCAGGACTGTGTGTGCGGCACCACGGACCTGCACGGACCATCCTGACCCACGGCACGGGCGGCTCGCGTCCTCCCGGCTGCCCAGGGCGCGGCACCCCACGGCACGAGCCCCGTGCCACGTGCCGCCGGGCCAGGCGGGCCCTGCCCGAGCTTGTTGGGCTGCCGGGAACAGGTCGGGCAGGAGCCGGTGGCTCTGCCAGGCCAGCGCTGATCCAGCTGTGCCGCCGGCACGGAGCCCACGGGGACACAGGCAGACCCCGAACCCACCCCCCAGGGAGCCATGGCCCTCCCTGGGGACTCGGGAGGCACAAGCACCCACCCCGGGGGCTCCATCCCTGAAGACAGGGGACACACTGTCCTGGGGGGACACTGCAGCCAGGGGACCCCAGGTCTGTCCCGGGGAACCCTAGGTCTGTCCCGGGGAACCCTAGGTCTGTCCCGGGGGGGGGCACAGTCAGCAGAGATAGCCTGTCCTTGTCCCCAGCTGGGAGGGGTCCCCGTCCCACCACAAGCAGGAGCGCCCTGGCCGGGCAGGGGACACCCCTGTCCCTGTCCCCATGCCAGGCGGGGGGCACGCCGGGACCCAGCACCGGGGTTGGGGGGTTTGGGGGGGCGGGCACACACGTACCGTGACCGGGATGGGGGGAGTGGGGACCCACAACCGGAAAAGGGGCCAAAGGCGGGGGTCCGTGAGCCCGGTGACAGCAGCAGAGGGGGGGGTCGTGGGACCTGGTAATGGGACGGGGGCGGGGGGAGCAGCGGGAGAGGAGGGAGGGAGCAGCAGGGGGCCGGTACCGAGGACGCGGAGGAGGGGTTAGCCGGTACCTTCGAGGATGACCTCCCTGCCGGCTCTCTTCAGCGCCTGGACGGCTTGATCGTGGGTGGCATCCCGGAGATCGACGCCGTTAACGGCGAGGATGGCGTCGCCCAGACGGAGCGCCCCGCTCCGTTCCGCCGCCAGCCCCGGGAAGATACGCGAGATGAGCACCGGCATACGATTCTCCCGACCTCCCTTGATGCTGATACCGAGCCCTCCCGCCTCCGCCTTCACCACCCGCACCCTCCGCACGCAACCGGGCGCCGCCTCCGCGTTGCCGTTAACCACGCCGTTAAGCACCGCCGACTCGCCGCCTCCCGGTTCCGCCGTCAGGCTCAACGCTTCGCCGCTCAGTTCCGCCGCTACCCGCACCCAGCGTTCCCGTAGCAGCAGCTCCAGCAGCCCCGCTTTACAAGCGCGGGTCCACACGGCCATGCCGCTCGCCGCTCGCCGCCGTTCACCGGGAGAAGGGGCGGGGCCTGGAGGAGGGGCGGGAGGGCTGTGGGCGTGGCGCGGCGGCCACACCCCCCGCCCGCATGGCGCGCTGCGGTAGGCTCTGCGCTGCGGGAGAGGCGGGGCCGAGACGCCGCTCCCCTCCCTCCGGCGCGACCAATCGCAGCAGCGGCGGCGGATGCGCCGCCGCTGCTGCGATTGGTCGCGCCGGAGGGAGGGGCGCTGAAGCCCCGCCCCGTGCTTTATTTCCCGCCCCGTGCTTTATTTCCCGCCCCGCTCTCCATTTCCCGGGCTCCGTCTAAAGCCCCGCTTAGCAAAGCCGCGCTCCCCGCTCGCAGCGAGCCGGCAGCTGCTCCTAGAGCCAGAATTTTCCCCCAGAGCCCCTTCCTCGGTTATGGGGAGATGTCTTTTGAGGGTACAGGGCGAGGGGAGTGGGTCCTGTACCTTCACGACCAACCAGCCTGCTTGGTCCTGCTCGGGAGGGTACAAGCATAAACTGGAAATAGGGCACTAGTGTTACTGGAAGGTCTAGAGGAGAAGGTACGTGGCTTTCCAGCTAACAGCTGCCGCAGAGGTGTATGTGCCGAGAGTGGCGGTTTGGCAGAGGGACCCCGCTACACCCCAGTCCCACCAGCATGCAGCTGCAGGCTCTGGTTTGGCGAGCCAGCACCTCTCCCCTGGCATGGAGCAGGGGCAGATGCTGCTCACCCAGCTGGGGATGTTGAATGTGGGTGCTGAGCACCAGCAATCGCCATCTGTCTGTCCATCCAAGGGATGGGAGTGCTACCCCAGGCAGCACCCCAGTGCCTACCGATCCACCCAGTTGCTGGCCGACACTGGGAAAGAGAAGCCAACACCAGGACCCGACACTGCCCAGCAAAGCAGCCACTGAGAGGGCAGGAGATTCAGGGTGCCACCTTGTCCCCACAGCCCCGGGAGGAGGACTGGCATGGGCAGGAGAGAGCCCTACGAGGTGGCCGGGTCCTCATGCTCAGGCCGGTGCCAACCTGACCCGCTGCTGCGAAAGCAGGGAGCCGCGCAGGGCAAGGAGGAGCCCTGAGCCCGCAGCCGTACAGAACAGCGGGGTTTATTCCTACAGCACACTAGGAAAGCAACACACACAGTTTCTGCGGCTAGAGGAGCTTGTTCTGCTCTCAGGTGCCAAATTTCTTCTGTTGGATGGGCAGTGGCAGCTGGGTCTTGATGTCCATGATGGGCCGCTCCACCATCACGAGGCAGTTCTCGTCCAACAGATCCGCGAAGAGCAGGGGCTGTGCAGCAGGGAGGAGGCAGGAGATGAGAGCGTGGTGCTGGCCCCCCTCTGCCTCAGCTTGCTGGACTCAGCCACGCAGAGTGGCCCTGCAGCTGGCTCTGGCTTAGCAGTAACCAGGGGCATTGCTTGGGGGTGTGTGCTGCAGGAGCTGCTGGGCGACCAGAGCCCACGACATCGCAGCAAGCGGCTGCGCCGTGACAGGGACTGAGACCAAGCTCTGCTCCGCCGCTTGGGCACCCGGTGCTGGTATAGAACCAGGAACACCTGGGCACAGGAGCCGGTGGGGCCGCAGGGACCATGGGCACAGGGCACCCCCTGCCCCACCAGCACCCCCTCCTCGACACAGCACACACCCAGCAACACTGTCACCCACCTGGAACTTCTTGCAGATCTTGAAGGCGTGGAGCTGCCGCTGCCTGGCAGTCTCCGGGAGCTGCTTCAGGGTGCTCTGGTTCATCAGGAGGGCACTGTTGTCTGGCAGGGGCTGCAAGGAGAGGGCACGGCACATGTCAGTGCTGCCTGGGACCACCACCACCACCTCGGCACCGTGCACTGCTCCCTCTGCTCCCTGCGGGGCTGGGCAGGGGAGATGTCCTGGGCACAAACCCAGCCCTCCTGACCTGGCATGCGGACTCACCAGGGACTTGTCGAGGACACAGAACATGTAGATGTCGTGGAGCAGGATGTGCGAGGGATTCTTGGGGTTGAAGGTGATGTGGGTGATGGGCGAGTCCCTCTCCAGCCAGACCCTGTGCAGCCCGCAGTTCTGCACCATGCGGCTCCAGGCCGTGTACTGCTTCTCAGGGATGCTGAACTCGAACAGCTGGAGAGGCAGAAGAGAGCAGATGGGACGGCTCGCGAGGTCCAGTCCTCCCTGGCATCACCCCCACATGGGCAGGCTGCGAGCACTGCGTGGGGACAGGCTCCTGCCAGGGACAGCGGGCAGCGAAGGCCAGCCGGGTCCCTATGCGTGCCCAGAGCCGTGGCTCTGCTGCGGAACGTTGCAGCCGGAAAGCCCCGAGGCCAGGGAGAGAGCCGTGGGGAAAGGTCCAGGGTCAAGAGGAGAGCTCCTACCTGCTGGTCCGAGTAGGCAATAACGAGGTTGTTGGTGATGGGGTGGATGGCGAGGGCCGTCACCGCGCAGCTGTATGTGGGCACCGTGCAGTGATGCTGCAAGGCAGGAGGACAGCACGCTGACGGGAGCAACCGGGGCCACCTGTGACCCCCTGCTTCCCACAGACCCACCCCCAGCCCTGCTCCGGGGACACAGTGATGGCTTACGGGGAGGGGACCTACGTGCTGAGCCCACTGACACCCGGCCCCCCAGGGCAGGAGGGCAGTGGGAGTCATTCCTCCAGCACCTGCTCCTACCTTGAAGCATTTCAGGTCATAGATGTGGATTGCCCAGTCCCCACCGACTGCGGCCAGCCAGTGCCCGTCTGCGCTCGACGCCAGCAGGTAAACAGCCTCGGGGGACCCTGCAGAAACACCCTCACCGGCTGTAATGGGTGTTCAGGCCTGCAAGGAGCCCCAGACCCACCTCCAGGGAACATCCAAACCCACATCCCCCCTGCCTATCTGTGCACCCCGCTCCCCCACCTGTGTCAGGCCACGAGGGTGGCACAAACACAGGGCAGAGGCTGTCGGGGAAGAAGGACCCCCACACTCCAGGGCAGGAAAGGGGGCACATGTTCAGCCCTGCACACCCCTCTGCACCCATGGCAGGGAGGGGACACGGAGCCCAAGGACCCCCCAACACCTCCCCAACACCCCCAGCTCCCCACCAGCCCAAACCTGAGGGCGGCCGAAATGTGTGCAGGTGTTTGCAGCCTCCCGGCTCCAGCAGCTGGAGGACATGGACAGAGCCTCGAGCAGAGGCAACGAAGAGGCTGCCAGAGTCGGAGGAGAACTGGAGCTGGTAGGCTGGCAGCAGCAGCTTGGGCACTTTGGGGACCTTGAAGGGGGGAGAAAGCAGTGCTGAAAGCCACCGACCGCTGCCACCCTCGCTCCTTGAGAGCAACGCTGGCCATGCCAGCCCCCTGGGACTCCGCAGCCACCCACCACCTCTCCCCGGCAGCGGGGCGGCCCATCGCCCTCCTCACCTTCTTGATGCTGACGCCATCACCCTCATATTGCACTCGGTAGAGGTGGAAGCGGGAGGCTGTGGAGTAGGCAACCCAGCTGCCACAGGGCGAGACACAGCTGCAGTAGATGTGCTCCGGACCCTGGAAAGGCAGAGGGGCCGTGTGTGGCCCATGAGATCCCCCGGCAGCTTGGCACACACAGCTCAGCCGTCAGAGGGAGAGCGGAGAGGCAGGCACCAGGGTGGACCCCCAGCCCCAGTTCAGGCCTACCTTGCTCTTGAGCTGCACGAGGTGCTCAGGCATGCGGCACAAGGGAAGGACCTCGCCATCCTTTCCTGGGACGACAAGAAACCACACGGCACATCAGTGACGGTGGAGAAATGACAGGGGACCTGTCGAGCAGCTGGGGATCCCAAGGGAGCAGCACCCAAGGGAGAGCCCAGACACTTCTCCAACATCCCCCGAAGCTGAATTCCCCAGGGCCTGGCCCAGCTCCGCTGGAAGCACGAGCACAGCCTCGCACCGGCTGGGCAGCCTGTGCCCAGGCACACACCACGATGGGAAACACAGCCCGGCCTGTGGCTGTCATGCCATCGCAGGGCTGTGGGGAGGAAGGAGCCTGAGCTAAATCACCTCTCCGCTGCCCAAACAGCAGGACCGTTCATGCCCAAAATCCTGCAGGCAGCACAGGCTCTGCCACAAGACTAGTACCGGAGAGCTGGGCCTTGCAACTCACCAGTCTCGTCTGTGGAGCCAAGTCTCCAGAGCTCCAGGTGCTGGGAGAACTGGAAGAGGAGCAGCCGGGCTTTCCTGGCACAGGAGACGAGGCGTCGCTGCGTGCAGAAACGAGAAGACTGTCATGAACCCACAGCCTGGCAGAAAGGGCTGGGCCAAAGCTGAAATGCCCTGGGGGGCTGGAGACGCCAGGGCGGGGGAGAGGAAGGACTCGGGTCCCATGGGATGGGAGCCCAGAGATGGAGACCCAGCAGGACCAGCAAGACGGGCTTGCCAACTTCTACCCACTCTGTGGCAGGAGCCTCCAGACGTGCCAGGGCCAGGGAGGGGACCGAGCAGGGCAGGGAGGGGACCCAGCAGGGCAGGGAGGGCCAGCCTTTTCCCGCAGGAAGAGCCAGCCCTGCCAGCCTGCCTTGCCAGGCGTGAGACCCCGCTCAGAGCGGCACTTACGTGGGGGAAGGTGAATTTGCGGAGTGCGGCGTCATAGCCCTTCTTCTGCATCTTCTCCATCAGTGGGCGGATTACCAGCTGGGCGTCCAGGCCTGAAAGCCAAGCAGAGGTCAGCTGAACCGGTCCCGGGGGGAGAGACCCAAGCCCTCCTCGTGACCGCAGCCAGTCCTACCCCCGGAGATAAGAGCCGTTGAGCTGTGTGCCACAGCTCGCACGTCGTGGGTGTGATGCTGGAAGGGCTTCGTCCGCACCCAGCGCTTCTCCAGGCTGCCCATTTTCACTGGCAGCAGCTGAAACTGGTAAGTGGCCCCCGTCGAGGTGCCCACAATGATGCTGTCCTCCTTCTGGTGAGAGAAACGGGGACGGGGTTTGCAGGCACAGACCGGGAAGAATGAAAGGGCAGCACCGGGAGGCAGGCAGGGACCGACAGCTTCTCTTCCAGCCCTGCTCCTGCCGGCCCAAAGGCACCGAGCCAGGCAGCTCCTGCCCGAACACCCCTGGCCCAGCACACAGGAGCCCAGACGGGCCCTGGCTGCCTGGGAGGCACACGGAGGGACTTGCCTACCTCCGACACGGCCAGCGAGAGGACGGCCGAGGTGCTGACGATGTGGGACTCCATCAGAGTCCCTCGCTGCCAGTCCCAGAACTGAACCCTCCCGAAGGAGTCCGAGGTGATGACAGTGCCGCTGGAGAGGAAGGCGATGCTCCACACGATGCACTCACGCCTCACCTTCAACACGTGGTAGTTCACCATGATCCTCTGGACAGTTTGGCCTGAGAGGCGGGAAGGACGGTTGGGGGTGACAAGGGGATCCCCTCAGAGCATGAGACGTGCCGGTGCTGGCGGTCCTCGGGGCAGGGGACAGGGGACAGGCTGGGCTCACGCCTTGGGCTGTGAGTTACCGGAACAGACGTCGAAGACCCGGAGGAAGTCAATGGAGCCAGCCGCTATGTGAGTGTCTGACGGGTGCCAGGAGAGGCAGAGGATGCGGCCTGTGGGGAAGGAAGCTCCCAGTGTGACCCCAGGGATTCACAGGCACTCGGTCACCGGGAGTGGGACAGCCGGGATGGACAGAGGGGACGGAGGGACGATGCCGCCGCAGTACTGAGCCCTCCTGGACTCACCTTTCCGCCTGTCCAGGTTCCGCTCAAACTGGATCCCCCCAGGCACGACTTGGAAGAGCTTAACTGAGCCGTCCTCACAGCCGATCTGTGGAAGAGTTGGGATCAGCCCCGGTGGGCCAGGCGGACCCTCTCCCTCTGCCACCACCCCAGCCAGGCTGCCCCTGCTCCGGGGATGGGAGAGCCATCCCGGTCCCGGTCCTCAGTTGCACTCACCGCCAGCTGCGTGCCACTGCTGTTAGCCGCCATGCTCCAGATGGGCCCCCCGCAGCCATCGACGGAGCGGGCCACGCACAGCAGGGCCAGGTCATATTCGGTGATTTCCCCGCTGAGGCCGGCTCCGAAAAGCCGGTCTCCCGCCGCCCAGCACAGCGCTTCCACTGACCGGGTCTCGTGCCCGGGGATCACCTGGGGAGGGAAACCCGTTACCCTGCTGCACAGCCCGGTACAGCCCGGTACGGCTCAGTACAGCCTGGTACGGCCAAGTATGGCTCAGTGCGGCTGGGTACAGCCCGGTATGGCTCAGTACGGCCCAGTATAGCTCAGTACAGCCAGGTATGGCTCGGTACGGCCAGGTACGGCCAGGTACAGACTGGTACGGCTCAGTACAGCCTGGTACAGCCAAGTACGGCCAGGTATGGCTCAGTACGGCCCAGTATGGCCAGGTACGGCCAGGTACAGACTGGTACGGCTCAGTACAGCCAGGTATGGCTCGGTACGGCCAGGTACGGCTCGGTACAGCCAGGTACGGCTCGATACAGCCAGGTACGGCTCGGTTCGGCCAGGTGCAGACCGGTACGGCCAGGTACGGCTCGGGACAACCCGGTACGGCCAGGTACGGCTCGGTACAACCCGGTACGGCCAGGTGCAGACCGGTACGGCCCGGCATGGCTCAGTATGGCCCGGTACGGCTCGGTAGAGCCCGTCCCGGCCCCCTCACCTTCTCCTGGAAGTAGTTGGCGGCGAAGTTGTAGACCTCGACGGCGCCGTCGGTGCGGGCCAGGGCCAGGCGGCCGCCGCGGGGCTGGCAGGCCAGGCAGCGCACTCCCGCCGGCACCAGGCCGAAGAACCGCACCCGGTGCACCTCGAACTCCCCCATCCCGCCGCACCGGGACCCCCGCACCGGGACCCGCTCCGCCCCACGTGCGCGCGGCGCAGCCGGAACCGGAACCGCCCTCTCCCGGGGCGGAGAGGGAGGGGCGTGGCCGGAAGCGGAAGTAGCGACGCGGCGCCGGCGGGAGATTCGGGTGCTGCCCGGCGAGCGGCTCCGGCCCGACCCGATCCGGGGGTGCGGGATCGGGGCCGGGG